ATTATATGTCTTTTTACAGAGTTTTTCTTGTCCCAGATTATTTGTCATTTTAGATTTTCAATGCATCATTAATTGCACTATTTTCAATTTTACCATTTATGACTCTTAATTAGTTAGTTGTAAAACAATTAATGTCAAGGATATATTAATATTTTTCTATGCTTTTTACTATAATCTATACACATTTATTGATTTTCTTAATATGTGTGAAACAACCCAAAACGTCATTTAAATTGGGACGGAGGGAGTAGTTTCGAGTTCTCTATTATATTAGAAGAAAAAAATAATGGTATGGCTCGAAACCAATGGAGTAATGGTGTTTAAACAAAGCATGTAATTAGTCGCGGTTTAGGTATCTTAATTAGGAAGACTTGGTGAGACTTTGGTAATTAATCACAATCAACAAGCTAAGCAAAACATGATGTCTTTTTCAACTCTTGGTCCTAGTTTATTATTATTTTCTCGTTGTCTTCTGTTCCTTTGCGGAAAGTGAAGAAACGTAGCACATTATTATTGAATTTTGACCATCTTATATTATGTCAATTAGATCACTAGTATTTCTTAATTCAAAATAACATTATTGTGTACCGTTCCAATATTTTACTTTTCTGAAATAATTTTTACTGGACTAATTTAACGAATACGGTTCATTTAAAAACAAATCTTTTTATGTGTGAGATAGGCACTATCTCTTTTTTTTTTTTTTTTTTTGTTAATGCATATAAACAAAAATAATACATTTTTTACATTAACTAAAAATAAATATTAATTAATTATTCATTAATCATCAATTAATTATTACTACAAATTGTTAATTAATTATTATTAATTATTTATTAATTACTAATAAATTATTAGCTAATTACTAAATAACTATTAATCAATAATTATTATTTATTAATTAATAAACAATTAATAAGTTTTTTAAACATTAAAAGTTAAAATTCCTTATTACCTTTTATTTATTAATAATTAAGTAATTAATTAATCATTTTAAGTAATCGATTACTTAAAAAAGGGGGTGAACAATCATTCATGCCTATGTAGGGATGGGAACTATTGTTTCACTGTCAATTTGGGCGTGAAACAATAGCTCCCAAGCCGGGCATGAAGGTATTTATACTTCCGTTTTGGACGTGAAACATGTTATTTCACGCATGTTTTAACCTTAGTGAGAGATTTTTTTGAAAATTGAAAAGGTACTCCAAAAACTAAATCCACGTTAAGCAACTCTCTATATTTATAGACTTACTTCGGTGCACATCTATAATTATGGATCCCTCTCTATTAAAAAAAATTCATTGAAAATTATAATCGACGCATTTTATAATAAATTATAAATTTTCCATACTTATTTGGTGTGGGTAGATAATTTATACGGTTAAATACACTTTGCACCCCTATACTATGGTCATTGTCGCAATCACCCTCATGAACTATCAAATGCCAAAAATTGGTCCCTGCCGCTTGCAACCGTTAGCCATTCTGTTACTCAGTGGTAATTAATGTGGCATATTTACCATAATTTTTCAAACTTTTTGGACAGTTTTACCCTTTCAAAGTGTACTTAGTTAAAGGAAAGAACAAAATATAAGTATATAAATAAATAAAAAACAAGGCTCTATTATTTAATGAAAATGGCAAAAGAAAGTATAATAACATTTTGAGAAAAGGTTTAAATTCATAAAAAAAAAACTTGAATTTTAATTCTTGATTTAAGAATTAGAAAAGCATTTACAAAATCATATTTTATATTGCAAAAGATATGAAAAATAAAAAATAATCGAATAACTTGTACTTCATAAAAATGGAAAACAACATGAAAAACACCTTAGGGTGGGAAATCTATAAAATGTAAATAAAAAAAAAATTATATTCCAAATTTAAATTCTCGAGTTAGAAAATTATAAAAATAATTTAAATGTCATTAATTTCAAATGTTCAAATTCAAATTCTTTGAGTTAGAAAATTATAAAAATAACTTTTTATTAGTTTATGCTGGTAACGGCAAACATGTAGCACATTCATTCATGTTTAACCGTGTTAAATTTATAAGGGTTTATTGTCAAGTGCCAATCTGTCGCATTTGATAGTTCAGCGGAGGATCGAGACAAGAGTCATAGTACAGAGGTGCAAAGCCTATTTAACCCTAATTTATAAGATGCCTTCTTCAACATTGGGTTTATACTATATATACTATGAATTGGGTATACTTTGATTGCAATGGAATAATAGTAAAATTGAACGAAGTAAATTGCTTAATTGCATAGAGTCATCTAACAATTGATGTACTAGTATTTTAATTTAGGTCAATAATATTAATTTAAAATAAGAAATAAAAAAATACAATGAATGTGAAACCAAGTACTAAAAAGGTCCAAGTCAATGTTTGGCAAATGCCAAATAGCAACCCCAAATTGATCAATTATTACTTTTACCCCCAAAACTCCCCACCAACCAAATTAAAGGGAGTTGGCAAAGTCAAAATACTATTAATACCTTGAATCTCCACCTAAAAGACAATTCACCCTTCAATTCTTCAACTAAATTAAATCGGGGATGATTTATTACAATTTAAAACAAATGTTTTATAACTAATAATTAATAAATAAAAAGATTTTGATTATTAAAAATTAAAATCAATCTTCAGGTTCAAATTTCACACCTTCTCATATTTTCATTTATATGTAATTTAAATTTAGAAAAATAAATAAATATTGAATTTAAAATAATTTATAATAGACTTAATCTCATTTTACTCCCTTGAAATGTAATATTTTGACACTTTGTACCCTTAAAAAAATTTAATAGCAGCTTGCACCCTCGAAATACAATAAATCATTCACAATGCACCATTGAAATGAATATTTAAAACTTAATGAGGGTAATTCAATTTCTATTAGTTTTTTTTTTTTTTTTTTTTTCAGGATGCAAAGTAACAAACTAAATTGTTATTATTTCTATTAGTCTTTTTTCCATGATGCAAAGTGATCTAGAGGAAAACAGTTGCGTTGATGACTTTGGCTTCCGGTGACCTGGAAAAGAGAAAGCCGGACTGATGCCGGAGTTAGCACTCCGACGATCAAGTCAGTGATAGTGTGATTACTGTATTTCCTTAGGATTTAGGATTTTGTATATATCTTTAAGTAAAAGAAAAACTCCCTTTATATACCCTTCGACCCGGAACTCGAAGGCCCGGGAATTCCGCGCTAATTGCAGATGGCAGTCGTCCTTCCCCGAGCGGCCCGGGCGGCCGGGGTCATGATAACTACCCCAATAAGTCTGCTGACCTCGTTCGGTACTTAGCCGTTGAGCCGCGCCTGGTCATTCCGCCATAAATGCCACTGTCAGAGCAATAAATGCGCCGTCCAGCATTTATGATCCCCCCGACCTGTGAAAGCCCCTCGGGAGGGAAACCAGGTCCTTCGTGGATGGGCTCTTATGCCAACGGGCTGGGTGACCCCTTGGGCCGTTTGTACTGAAGAGCCCACCCTCTGATGGGCCTTGATAATTGGGCCCTTGGCCCTGGATCGGGCTAGGATAGTTCTGGTCCGGATCAACTAGTCCCCCACTCCGGGTTCTATCTCCGAGTTTAGGACCCGGAGTTTACTCGGTTTTATTTTCCCTAACTCGGGCGACGTTCAATCAACCGCGTCTTTCAAGTTAGCCGCCTGGTCTTTTGCGCCTTTCACACACAATCCTAGGTCCCTACAGCCCACGCGGGGCTCCTCGTTTTCCGTGCGCCATTACTGCCGGCGGCTCTTCGACTTTATACCCTGCTTTATCTTTGAGCGACGTCTTTTCTTCCCCACTTCTAATCTTCACACATCCCCTTCACTCTCCCTCTTAATACCTTTCTTCCATTTATCGAGTGACTCCGCCAGGTACATCCTTATTCCCTTTCCTTTGTTTATACTACGCTTGCCCTTCCTCTGATTGATTCAACCATGGTTTCTCAAAATACCTCCACTTCCTCTTCTTCGGAGAGGACTGGTTCCGCCGTCGCTTCCCCGGTTCCTCGGCGCGGTCGCCGGCGGCCGGTTCCCCGTAAAATTGTAGCCCCTTCCTCTTCTAGGGTAGGGAAGAAGAAAGTGGCGGAGAAACCTACCCATTCCTTGGTCGATAAATTCGATCTTGAGGCCCTTTATGTTACCCAAGGGATGGATCCCTCCTTCCACCTTGTGGTGCCTTCTCGCAACCAGACCCCTTCTAACCCCCCTCCGGGATACCTCACTTGGTACCTCGACCAATTTAAAGCCGGCCTATCGTTCCCTTTACATCCCTTTTTTGTCGATGTTAGTCGCGTCTATAGAGTTCCTCTTCACTTATTTCATCCGAATGCCATAAAGTTTATGTCATGTTTTTATATTGTCTGTGTGGGTACCGGGGTTGACCCACGTCCCGAGCTTTTCTTTTCCTTATTCACCCACAACCGGTCACCTTCAGGCTACTTCCATCTCTCGACCCGTATCGGCCGTCTTTTCGCTGGTCTTGTCACGAAGATCGACTCGTGGCAACGACGTTTCTTTTTTGCCCGTCCGCCATCTCCATGGCCATTTGACCCTACTCCCCCTACTAAGTCCCCCAAGCGTGCTGTTTTGGACGTGAATTTCGACGAGGAGACAGCCCGTCTCCTCGCTCGTGTTCGTCCTCGCGCTTGGAATGTAGAGAAAGTCGTCAGCACCACTCCCCTTTTTTCCCGTGCCGGTCTATGGCGTACCCCCTCACTCGATCGCCGCCCTTGGGGTATATCCCCCTTCTTCATCTTTACTCGTGCAGTGTTCTCTTTCCTTCTTTTTTTTTATTATTATTGAAATTTTTTTTTTTTTTTTTTTTTTTGTAATCTTATTAACATTTTTGTTTCGTCAGCCGAGATGATGCTTGATATGCTGATGGAGATGGCGGAGGCGGAAAAGAAAAATACCGAAGGTCCGTCAACACAACCTCAGGAGGCCGGTACTTCTGTTGTTCCCGAGGCATCCTCCCGTGGAGTTGAACTTCCCTCGCACAGTTCCAACTCTCCCTCTCGTGCCGCACCGCCTTCCTCCAACTTGCAGTTGGCTATTCCTGATGTCGTGATTGACCTCTTGGATAGTGAGGCCGAAGGACGCGACCCGGTGGCTTCTCTAGGCGGCGACCCAGGATTTGAGGAGGCTCAAGGGGAGTCGGCGGGGGCTAGCTCGAAACGACCCTTGCCGAATGACTCCACCCCACCGCCTAAGAGAGCCCGTCTCGACTTGCCTTCCCTCTTTTCCGCCGATGACTCCGAGGGGTCCGTGGACTTCGCTCTTCGTCAACTGGCCAGGGTTCAGGCCGCCGGGGATTCATCCTACTTGAATAACCTACCCCACTCAACCCGCCGCGCGAAGCTGGCCCTTTGTTTGGCACAGGTATGTGTTTACTTCCCCTCGGTATCCGTGTTACCTTGTTAATGATATGATTATTTCTTTACTAATCTAATTTTTTTTTTTTTTTTTTTTTTTTTTTTTTTAGGCGAGCTCTATCGTGGCCTCGGGTTTTGGTGAGGATGACCCTTCGGTTCATGATCAGGCAGTTCGTGAGCTATCCTCGCAAGCCGCCAATGCTCGTACCGCTCTCGAACGAGCGTCCTCCCGAATATATGCCTTGATGGCTGAGAACGGGTCACTGTCCTAACAATGCGAGCTTGCCGAGGAGAAGCTTCAAGACGTCCAATCGAAGCTGTGCGAGACGAAGAGTGCCCTGGAGGGGCAGATTGCGCGGGCGAACGAGGAGAGGGATTCGGCCGTTCGGCAGCTGGGGGTGAAGGAACAAGATTTCCAAGAGGAACTCTTACGCCGCCTTACTGCTGAGCGAAAGAAGTCCCTAGGAGAGCTTCTGGCTACTGCCGAGGGTTTGGCAGTTCTTGATCAGTACCGGGTCAAGCTATTCCAGAGGTATCCGCACACAAAGCTCTTCCTGAAGGATGTGTGTCCTATCGGCATGTACTATGTGAAGCAGACCATTGCCGCGTGTGAAGCCTTGGCCTCCGAGCAGCAGGCGGTCGTTCGCTATGAGCCTACGGTTGTCCTTGGCAAGATTAGCAGGACGCTTCCTTTATGGAAGGGCGATCCTCGTGAGCCGATCGATTATGCCTGATGGCAGTCAATTACGGACGACCTGATCTCGTCCGTTGGTTCGTCCTCTACTTCCCGACTTCCGGAGCCATTGACCACTGGTCCGGCTGGTGCGGCGTCGTCGGCAATTGCCGGTCCTCACTCGGCTCTTCCTCTGCCGCCTATCCCCGCCGTCAATCCTGTTTCCGCCTCCTCCGCTCCTCTGTCCACTCCTTCCGTTGCTGCTGAAGTTGTTCATCGTTCTTCGTCTTCTTAATTTTAAACTTTTAAAAACAAATTTCCTTTGTTATTTCCTTTCCAATTACTACTTATCGTATTTTTGAACTATCTTTGATTATTCCCGTATTATCCCTTTTTGTTGTGCATGCTTATTATTTACCTCATGCTTTGACTCCATTCATTTATTTAGTAACTTGCTAAATTTTTCATAAGTACGTTCCTCGCCATCATATCGTTGTTCGACCCGTAGCTCGAGTTCTCGGGTATTCGATCGGTGAGCTCGAGCTCTTATTTCGCACCGGGGAACGTACTTGGAAAAATTAGATTTTTCCTTAGCGTTCCCCTCAATCATATTGTTGTTCGACCCGGAGCTCGAGCTCTCGGGTACTCGATCGGTGAGCTCGAGCTCTTATTTCGCACCGGGGAACGTACTTGGAAAAATTAGATTTTTCCTTAGCGTTCCCCTCAATCATATTGTTGTTCGACCCGGAGCTCGAGCTCTCGGGTATTCGATCGGTGAGCTCGAGCTCTTATTTCGCACCGGGGAACGTACTTGGAAAATTTAGATTTTTCCTTAGCGTTCCCCTCAATCATATTGTTGTTCGACCCGGAGCTCGAGCTCTCGGGTATTCGATCGGTGAGCTCGAGCTCTTATTTCGCACCGGGGAACGTACTTGGAAAAATTAGATTTTTCCTTAGCGTTCCCCTCAATCATATTGTTGTTCGACCCGGAGCTCGAGCTCTCGGGTATTCGATCGGTGAGCTCGAGCTCTTATTTCGCACCGGGGAACGTACTTCGAAAAATTAAATTTTTCCTTAGCATTCCCCTCAATCATATTGTTGTTCGACCCGGAGCTCGAGCTTTCGGGTATTCGATCGGTGAGCTCGAGCTCTTTTACCCTTGTAAGTTTTTTAAGAAAGGGAGAGCAGTTTTCATTCATTTCGAGGAAACGTTTCAAAACGAAAAGGAGAAATATCAAAATGGAAAGTGGAGAACATGCATCTACTAGGCAAAATACTTCTTCAGGTGCCCTATGTTCCATGGCCGAGGTAGTTTATTCCCGGTGGCTGTGGCCAGCTCGTACGCTCCTCCTCTTAATATCTTCTTGACGACGTAAGGTCCTTCCCAATTAGGTTCCATCTTCCCGGTGGCTTTCAGAGCGTCCGCCTGCTTGAGTACCAGGTCGCCGACTTGGAAGTGTCTTTTCCTTACCTTCCTATCGTAGGCGTTTTTCATTCTTGCCTTGCTTACTTCCATCCTGATCGCAGCTTGCTCTCTTAGCTCCTCTGCTAGGTCCAGGTCCGCTCTCAGCCGTTCCCCGTTGTCCACTTCGTTGAAGTTCTTAATTCGCCTCGAAGGTATTCCAACCTCTAGCGGTATTACTGCCTCTGAACCATGCACAAGCGAGAATGGGGTTTCCCCCGTAGCCTCTTTAGGGGACGTCCGGTATGCCCATAGGACCGAGTGCAACTCATCCGCCCAATTGCCCTTCGCTTGATCTAGTCGCTTTTTGATACCCTCAATTATAACCCGGTTCACTACCTCAACTTGGCCATTTGCTTGCGGGTGTGCCACCGCCGCGTACCTCTGTCTTATGCCCAAACCCTTACACCACTTGGTGATCCGTGCTGAGTTAAATTGTGTGCCGTTGTCCGATACAAGGTCCCTCGGCAACCCATACCTGCAGCATATGTTCTGCCATATGAATTTCATTATCTCTGTATCCGTGATCCTTGCCACTGCCTCCGCTTCAACCCATTTAGAGAAATAGTCTACAGCGATCACTAGAAATTTCCTTTGCCCTGTTGCGAGAGGTAGAGGGCCTACTATGTCGATTCCCCACTGGGCGAACGGGCAAGGAGCGTCCACGATTGTCATTTCCTCCCCGGGCGTATGTATGCGGGGGCCATACCTTTGGCACTTGTCGCAGCTTTTCACAAATTGCGCCGCATCCTTCCTCATAGTGGGCCAAAAATACCCGGCTCTCAGCAGCCGCATCGTGAGCGTTCGACCACCGGCGTGATCTGCGCAGCAACCCCCGTGGACCTCCCTGATCGCATTTGCCCCCTCCGTTTCGCTGAGGCATCTCAAGTGGGGCCTAGTGAACCCCCGCTTGTATAATGTCCCCTTATCCAAACAAAAATTTCTCGCTTTCATCTCCAACTTACTCTGTTCCTTCCGACAGGGCAGCGTTTCTCCTTTCAGATATCCTATGATATTCTGACGCCAGTCCGGTGCTAGGCTTGTTGTCGCTACCTCCAACATCTCTCTTGGCTGCCCTTCGAGGATCGTTATCTGTCTTGAAGAGCAGTCCGCGGACATACTTCCTACCCTTGCTAGGAAGTCCGCCTTTTCATTCTCCTCCCTCGGGATTTGCCTAAGTACCACCTTGTGAAAGTTCTCAGCTAGCTTTCTTGCCTTACTGCGATATTCCTCCATTCGCCCATCCTTCGTTTCGAATACCCCGTTAAACTGCTGAACGACCAGCTGCGAGTCAGAGAATATCTCCAAAACCCTTGCTCCCGCATCGGCGGCCAACTGCAGGGCATGCAGCAGGGCCTCGTACTCAGCCTCGTTGTTTGACGCTCGGAAGGTTAATCGGATAGCGTACTCATATTTATCTTCCTCGGGGCTCACCAGTAGTATTCCCGCTCCGCTCCCCGATTGGGTGGCGGACCCATCGATGAAGATTCTCCACTCCCCGCTTTCTTCCCCTTGTGTCACCCCTTGCAAAAAGTCTGCCAACACTTGCCCTTTAATAGCGGCCTGGGCTTCGTACCCGATATCGAACTGCCCCAGTTCCACTGCCCATTTAACCATTCGGCCAGATACGTCCATCTTTCCCAACGTTCCTTTCAGAGGAAGGTTGGTTCGCACTATTACCTCGTGCGTCAAGAAGTAGGGCCTCAGTTTCCGTGCTGTGATCACAAGGGCCAATCCTGCCTTCTCAATCTCGGGGTAATTCTTTTCGGCCCCTCTAAGCATTCGGCTTACGTAATAAACGGGATGCTGGGCCCCTTTTCTCTCGCTCAGTAGTACCGTGCTTATGGCTTGGCGACCCACCGCCAAGTACACATACAGCCTCTCCCCGACCTCGGGTTTCACTAGCAGGGGTAGACGGGTGAGGGACTCTTTTAACTGCTCGAACGCACGGTCGGCATCTTCATCCCACTGGAAGCGATGGCCCTTGCGCAGGATCCTAAAGAACGGGTAGCTGGTATCGGCTGCTCGCGAGATAAAACGGCTTAATGCCGTGATCCTACCTGCCAATATCTGCACTTCTTTTACACTTCTAGGGGGTAGCATTTCTAGTATAGCCCGCACCTTTTCTGGGTTAGCTTCCACTCCTCGCTTAGTCACCACGTACCCTAGGAATTTCCCGGTCTCCACACCAAACGCGCACTTGGCAGGGTTGAGCTTCATTCCATACTTTCGCAGTGTTGCGAACGTCTCCTGCAGGTCGCTGATGTGTTCACTGACCTCCTTACTTTTGACCAACATATCATCTACGTACACTTCCATATTCCGTCCTAATTGGGTTCGGAACATATTGTCTACCAATTTCTGGTACGTTGCTCCTGCGTTCTTTAAACCGAATGGCATTGCTACGTAGCAATACGTTCCTGTGGAAGTCACAAAACTGACTTTGGGCTGATCCTCCTCGGCCAGGCGAATCTGATGGTATCCTTGCGAGGCGTCCATCATGCTAAGCATCGCGCACCCGGCAGTTGAGTCCACGAGCTGGTCGATCCTTGGCAACGGGTAGTGATCCTTCGGGCACGCTTGATTCAAGTCGCGGAAATCTATGCACATTCTCCATTTTCCTTCCGCCTTCTTTACTAGTACGGCGTTTGACAACCAAGTTGGGAACTGGATTTCCCTGATATGACCCGCCTCTAATAACCTTTTTACTTCCTCGCCGATGATCTTATCCTTCTCTGCCCCAAAATGCCTCCTCTTCTGTTTCACAGGGCGAGCGTCGGGCCTTAGGTTCAGCTTGTGGACTGCTACCGAGGGATCTATTCCGACCAGGTCTACAGGAGACCAGGCAAACACGTCTTGATGGTCTCGTAGACATGCTATCAGCTCCTCGGCCGTTTTGCTATTCATCCTTGTTCCTATTTTAGTGACCCTCCTAGGGTCACTCTCGCTGAGATGAACCACTCGCAATTCTTCCATGGGCTGGATGTGACCCTCCCTCTCGTCGTCCGGGTCCTCGCGGGCCCTTTTCTCCCTTGCCCTATCAAAGAGTTCCTTTCCCGAGCGCTCCTCCCATCCGATGGGATTGATGCGTCGCTGCCCCCGTAGCGCTTGATTATAGCATCGCCTGGACGTCTCCTGGTCGCCCCGGACTTCTCCTACTCGGTCTAGTACTGGGAATTTCATTTTCATGTGGAAAGTGGAGACGACGGCTTCAAACGAATTCATCGAAGGTCGCCCCATTATCATGTTGTACGTCGATGGTGCATCTATGATCAGGAATCTGACAGCCCTCGTGGCTCGCAGGGGCTCCGTTCCCAGAGACACAGGCAGTGTTACCTCGCCCATGGGTTGTACTACCTCTCCGGCGAAGCCAATGAGCGCCGTGTCCACCCTCCGGACTTCGAAGTTTAGTCTCATCTGCTTAAAACAGTCGTAGTAGATGATGTCTGCCGAGCTACCTGTATCCACCAATATTCTGGCCACATCATAGTTAGCTACCATGGCCGTGATGACCAACGCGTCGTTGTGCGGCTGTTGTATTCCAGTCTCGTCTTGCACTCCGAACGTGATCGGCGGGGCCATCGATACCCGGTACATCATGGCGAGCTCTCCCCTTAGCTCCTGTAACTCTCGCAGATGCGCCCGTCGGGACCTGTTTGAGTCTCCACCGATGGGGCCACCGAAAATCGTGTGAATGTAACTATTAGGCGGGCGGGCCTCCGTGGAATGACCATGCTCATTGTGGAACCTACAATAGGGCCCGGCGCTAGCAGGCTTTCTTGGAACCTCCGCGTAAGTTCGGGGCCACTTGAGTTTAGGGTGGTTAGCGATGGCAACTAGTATCTCCGAAGGGGCCGACGAGAGAGGTGCGTAGTTCTCAAAACGAGGACCTCCCCTCCTGTCCAAGCCAGGCTCTCGCCGGTAGGTCGGCTCTTGCTTCCTTATCTCCTCGCGAGCCTTATCCTTCCGTCTTTCCGTCGGCAAGGTGCCCTCTATAGTTCTACTCCTCCGGGCTTCCTCCGCGTTTATGTACTTCTCCGCCCTCCGGAGCAAGTCGTTGAAAGAGACAGGAGCCTTTTTGGAGAGGGAATCAAAGAACTCACCCATGCGTAACCCCTGGGCCAATGCATTGATGAGCACTTCCTCACTGGTGACAGGGACCTCTAAAGTTGCCGCATTAAACCTCTGCACATAGCTTCTCAAAGGCTCATTCTCCTTCTGTCGTACTGCGAATAAGGTAAGGGTGCTCCTTTTTTGTTTTTTCGAGCTGGCAAAATGGTTTAGGAACACCTCACCGAATTGCGCGAAGCTGTGGACCGAGCAGCGTGGAAGCTGGCTGAACCACCTTTGCGCTGGCCCTGCCAACGTGGTTGCAAACACACGGCATTTTACGCCGTCTGTCAGACGGTGGAGGGAGGCTGAGGTGATGAACCTCGACAAATGTTCCCATGGGTCCGTGGTCCCCGTGTACTCGTAAGTGACATGTTTGAATGTGGCGGGAAGTTCACCATGCTGCAGTCTTTCGGTGAACGGCGTTCCCGCCATTCCTTCTTCCTCCTCGAGAGGAAAGGCCTCTAACCCATCTAGACACGGTCCCGCTTTGTCTCTGCCCGGTGCCTTTCTCTTGGCAGCGGGATCCTCTATCCTCTCCTGGGGCGACTGGCCCCTAACCGCTGCGGCGATCAAGGCCTGCAGGTTCTCCAGGGTGAGCGTTATGGTGGAGTTCTCGCGTCCGGCAGGAGAACCACCAGCCGTCGGGGTTGGTTCCTCCCTCCGAGGATCCGAAGGAGGTTCGCCTCCGATGACTTGTAGCGGGGGTGGGGTTGATTCTTCATTCAGCTGCTCCGATAGGTTTCGGACTACGTCCACGGGTGTAGACATTGGTAGCATCCCTTACGTGCGTCAGTAGTGCCAGATGGTGAAGAGCTAGCCTGGCTTTACTTGTAAAACAGTTCCCACAGACGGCGCCAATTGATCCAGAGGAAAACAGTTGCGTTGATGACTTTGGCTTCCGGTGACCTGGAAAAGAGAAAGCCGGACTGATGCCGGAGTTAGCACTCCGACGATCAAGTCAGTGATAGTGTGATTACTGTATTTCCTTAGGATTTAGGATTTTGTATATATCTTTAAGTAAAAGAAAAACTCCCTTTATATACCCTTCGACCCGGAACTCGAAGGCCCGGGAATTCCGCGCTAATTGCAGATGGCAGTCGTCCTTCCCCGAGCGGCCCGGGCGGCCGGGGTCATGATAACTACCCCAATAGGTCTGCTGACCTCGTTCGGTACTTAGCCGTTGAGCCGCGCCTGGTCATTCCGCCATAAATGCCACTGTCAGAGCAATAAATGCGCCGTCCAACATTTATGATCCCCCGACCTGTGAAAGCCCCTCGGGAGGGAAACCAGGTCCTTCGTGGATGGGCCCTTATGCCAACGGGCTGGGTGACCCCTTGGGCCGTTTGTACTGAAGAGCCCACCCTCTGATGGGCCTTGATAATTGGGCCCTTGGCCCTGGATCGGGCTAGGATAGTTCTGGTCCGGATCACAAAGTAACAATTTAAATTGTTATTTTAATCTACAACCAAAATGAAGTTGAGCGTATACAATGCAAATAAAAAAATCATAACTAATTATTAGAAAAAGTATAATTACTTACCCAAAAAAAAATTCTCACTAAATTATTTGATTGACGGATATTTTATTTTAATATGTAAAAATATTTGGTAGAAAGTTTTGGAATTAACAAAATATAATTTTTAAATAACTTGATAACAAAATAGCTGAAGGATTTTTCTTCTTTTTTGTTTTTTGTAGAATATGAACGGATATTAAATATATTGATGATATGCATTTTTATATTTGCACTTTGTAGTTTCAAAAGGATCGATGAATATAAAAAAAAAAATTCATTAGGCATCCTAAAAAAATACCACCAAAAATATTAGATTAGCTTCAAAAATCAACTTGTGGTGCACTATGCACGATTTATTGTGTTTCGAGAGTACAAAATGATATTAATTCTTTTTGTAAGGGTTCAAAAAAGTGCCAAAAATCTATATTTCAAGGATGCAAATTCGAATAAAGTCATTTATAATACCAAGAAAAGGAATATGTACAGTATCTGAACCAACCTAGAAATATCAAACATTAATTCATTTTATATATAATACTAAAATTGAAGTTGAATTCCACAAAAGGTTAGATTAAAGAATTAAAATATTAATAATATTAATAATAATAAAACGTCTATTTTCAAATACCAAAATATTCGTCCAACTGACCACACCCGCGTTTTCTCTCCTCTCTCTCTCTCTCTCTCTCAACTCAGTTCACCTTTTGACTGCTCTGACCATGCTCTCCTCCGCAACCACCAACCACCACCACCACTGACGGCGGCTCAGCCGCAATACTCTCCTTCTTCCTCCTTGAAAAAAATTCCTGCTCTTTGGTATGGGGAACTGCAACGCGTGTATAAGACCTTCAGAATCGGAGCCCCCAACCCCCAAACCTCAAACCCCAAAACCAAACAAAAGAAATCGGGAACGCTACCCTAACCCTTACGCCCAATCCCCTTCTCCGATCCGCGTGCTCAAGGACTTTTCTCCGGGAACCAGAATCTCCGACAAGTACGTGATCGGCGGCGAGCTCGGCCGCGGCGAATTCGGGATCACCTACCTCTGCACCGACCAGGACACGCGCGAGGCACTCGCGTGCAAGTCGATCTCGAAGAAGAAGCTCCGGACGGCGGTGGACATCGAGGACGTCCGCCGCGAGGTGGCGATCATGTCGAGCATGCCGGAGCACCCGAACATCGTCAAGCTCCGCGCCACTTACGAGGACAGCCAGGCGGTGCATCTGGTGATGGAGCTCTGCGAGGGCGGCGAGCTCTTCGACAGGATAGTGGCGCGTGGGCACTACAGCGAGAGGGCGGCCGCCGGTGTTGCCAAAACGATCGCGGAGGTGGTGCGGATGTGTCATCAGAACGGCGTGATGCACAGGGATTTGAAGCCTGAGAATTTCCTCTTTGCTAACAAGAAGGAGAATTCGGCGCTCAAGGTCATCGATTTCGGGCTGTCGGTGTTTTTCAAGCCCGGTATGTGTGAATTCGATTTTAGGATTACCAGAATTGGGGTTCAATTTTAGATCTGATTTTCCAATTTAGGGCTTTTTTGCTAGTTCTTCATAGTTTTGTTCTACGTGGGAGTATATATAGATCTATACATATTTTACCGAGTTCTACTACTTCGATTACCCATCATTTACGCCTCATTTTATACGGTTTTTCAATTATTGAAATGATTTCCTTTTTTGGGGGTATAATCTGCCGATTATTGAATAAGTGACTTCTTTTAATCAGGCGAAACATTCACCGAGATTGTGGGAAGTCCATACTATATGGCACCGGAGGTTTTGAAGAGAAACTACGGACCTGAAGTCGATATCTGGAGTGCTGGCGTTATTCTTTATATTTTGTTGTGCGGTGTACCTCCATTTTGGGCTGGTACAATTTTTCGTTTTTTTCTTTTTTTAAATATTCAGAGTTTAATTTTATATCAGGAATCAGGATCGAGTTTATTTCATTGCAATGTTTGCTGCAGAAACCGAACAAGGTGTTGCACTGGCAATTCTCAGAGGAGTGATTGATTTTAAGAGGGAACCATGGCCACAGGTTTCTGAGAATGCAAAAAGCTTAGTTAGACAGATGTTGGAGCCGGAACCCAAAAAGCGTTTGACAGCTCAACAGGTGCTTGGTAAGTTCGTTTAATACTTTTAGGCCTCGTTTGGGAATGTTGACGAGATTGATAAAATCGATTGAATTGGTTATGATTACATTTTTCATGATAGTGTAATATGTAATAATCTTCGTAGGATTGTGTAATAATTGTGGTTGAGTTTGGACTAATTATCCTTCATATGCTTGATTATAACTCCGAGCCGTTTTTTATCACGACCTCGAAACCTAACTGCCAAACCCATCTAACTGGGTACAAAGTTAAACAGTTTTTTTTCAATTTTTATTTTTATTTTTTTGGTTAGATCACCCGTGGATACAGAATTCGAAGAAGGCATCAAATGTTCCGTTGGGAGATATTGTCCGAGCAAGACTGAAGCAGTTTTCTGGTATGAACAGATTCAAGAAGAAAGCATTGCGGGTAAGCGTAACAGTACATTGATTTTGTTCTCTATATCTTAATAATTATTCATTTATCCTTGAAATTATTTATTTATCCTTGAGTGACTGTGTAGGTAATTGCGGAACATTTATCCGTTGAAGAGGTAGAAGTAATTAGAGATATGTTTGCATTGATGGATACTGACAATGATGGGAAGGTAACGTACGAGGAACTAAAAGCCGGTCTGAGAAAAGTTGGTTCACAGCTGGCGGAACCCGAGATAAAGTTGATGATGGACGTGGTAAATTTTCAAATTTTTTTTTTTCGATTTCAAAATAAAAAAAAAAATTGACATGATCAAGATAATTGCTAATTAATCATTGTAATATATTTTCTATTGCCTGGACTATTTTCATTGCTTTTTGCTAACTAGTCAAAAATCACATTTGTTAACTGATGAACTCGATACTTCTTAGTTAAAAATAAAATAAATAAATTAAATTGTCATATGGATTGAATTTTTTAATAGGATTTTTTTTTTCGGATTTTCGACAGGCTGATGTAGATGGAAATGGTATATTGGACTATGGCGAGTTTGTAGCAGTCACTATCCACTTACAGAGGATGGAGAACGACGAACATATCCGAAGAGCATTTATGTTCTTCGATAAAGATGGAAGTGAATATATTGAACTGGATGAGCTAAGAGAAGCTTTAGTGGATGAATCGGGCGAATTCGATGTTGACGTTCTCAATAACATTATGCATGAAGTTGATACAGACAAGGTTTTACTTAAATCCCTCATGCTAAATAATATATTATGTTAGACCTATGTTTCTGGTCAATTATTGAGTAAGTGCATAATGCCACTGTGATATTATGATAGAAAAGCAATATATGTAAGAATTTGTTTGGTTTGGTTGATAAGATTAGCCAGAACATGATTAAATAATCTTATGAAAACTCAATTATATTGCTGTAGACTTTTTTTCGGCAATTGCGGGCCGTCCCGAAAAGTTACTGGACTAACCAAACATGCAATAAAGTCTAAGGCCTCGTTTGGTTGGGGAGATTAGCCATGAAACTAAATAATAGGACTTTGTTTGATGTTTGGTATCCCCAATAACTTGCCGGGTCGACCCGCAAATATTATGGTATCTTGCCTTCTAGGCGTGTTTTTTGTTGAATCATCGAAGGTCCAATAATATAATTGAGTTAGATTATTTAATCTTATCTTGGAAACCAAACGAGGCCTAATTATTTAATTAGTTACGGCTAATCTTACCAACCAAACGAGGCCTAATTATTTAATTAGTTACGGTTAATCTTACCAACCAAACGAGGCCTTAAGATTAGTTAAATAATTGAGACTTATTTAATGTTTGATTAATCCAATAATTTTCCAGGGATCCCTTAATATCTTGGCTTACTAGAATTATGTTATGTACCATCTGTTTAATACAATTGATGAATTGAACCATAATAAGATTGCAATATATTCTCATTGTGATAATTTCCTTCCTAACATCTCGATTTGTTACTTATCATTATAACTGTCTTAATTCCAGGACGGGAGAATTAGCTACGACGAGTTTGTTGCAATGATGAAAACGGGAACGGACTGGAGAAAGGCATCACGTCAGTATTCAAGAGAGAGGTTCAAGAGCCTGAGTTTAAATCTGATGAAAGATGGCTCGCTGCACCTCCACGATGGAGTTACTGGTAAAACTGTTGTGGTTTAAAAGTTCCGATCTCCTAATTGCAAGCTAAACCCGAGCTTAATATTGATCATAGAAAAATCCGAGGCTTTTGAAGTAGGAACGACTTCGAAAAAAGAGCTTCAGATATTAGTTATTACATCAGTTGGACATTTTGTGAATGCTTAGTTTCTTTATGTTCTTCTTGTTGTTCATATGATGTGTAGAAAGAAAACATGTTTCGTAGGTACAGAGGTTGTTCGTGTTTGTGTTGTATATTTCCACGTAGTGTCTGTATTCTCATTTTGTCGTCTTCATATGTATCTCATTTGTAATTTGGAAAGATCCATTAATTGAATTTGTGTTATTACGGTTTCTAAAACCGGATCGAACATAGAATCAAGGGTTTCGTGTGTTGAATTTAACTAATCTACTACATTTTCTAGAGTGATCCAAGATGACAAAAATAAGGGTCCTATATCAAATGTTATTACAATTTAGATGTATGGGTGTAAACAAATCGATTTGAGTTGAACCCATGTTCGTTCAACTTTATTTGCATTAATATCGAATTTTCAAAGTTTGGTTTGATATTCCAGTCGGACTGAACACGAATTGAGCTCGAGTAACTTGAATTTTATTTTCTTTTTTGGATACATTTTACACACATCCGTATGTATATGTGCGTGATTCTTGAGAGGAAAATACAAACTTAATTTTTTTTACAATGCTCTCAAGAAAATAAATTACCAAATTGCTTCATTCTTCGAATTCACAGAGAAGACGAAGCTGATCTCCAAAACTCAGCCGGTTTCCGATGCTGAGAAATCGGCATCTTCGATCTAACCGAATCAATCAACTCAAAATCAATATCAGCAACAGCAATCCCAGTCGAAATTCGATCCGATAATCTACCAACAACCTTCCCCCAAGGATCAATTATCAACGAATCCCCATAGCTTTCTCTCTTTTCGCTATGCTTCCCACCTTGCGCCGCAGCTATGACGTAGCACTGAGTCTCAATCGCACGCGCGCGTAGCAGAATCTCCCAGTGCGCCTCCCCAGTCACCGTGGTGAACGCCGCCGGGACAAGTAAAACCTGTGCGCCGCCGTCGAATCTCAGGCGCTGATAAAGCTCCGGAAACCTCAGATCGTAGCAAACCGTGAGCCCTACAACTCCGAAGGGGGTTTCGACGGCGGCGATTTCTGCTCCGGCCTCGGTGAAGCTGCTCTCCTTGTAAACTGCTCCGCCGGGGACATCGACGTCGAAGAGATGCATCTTCCGGTAAGTGCTTCTGATATCGCCGGAATCGTCGATCAGTACGTGAGTGTTGCGGAGATGCGAATCGTCAGATCCGGTTTCCTGGAAACCTCCGAGGGAGAGCCAGATGTTGGATTCCTTAGCTAGGGATCGGTATTTGGTCATGATCGGGCCGTCTAGTGGTTCGGCGATTGAGAGGCTGTCGCCGGATTTGGCGCCGACGTAGGAGAAATTCTCCGGGAAACAGAGGAGTTTCGCGCCGGCGGCGGCTGCTTCCTTGACGAGGCGGGAGCAGGTGGTGAAATTGAAGGAGAGGTCGTTGATGGAGGTCATCTGTGCGGCGGCGACTCGTACGGTGCTGGCCATGGCTGCTCGGTGGAAGTGGTTGCGGTGGTGAAAAGCTCAGTCTTTGTTGTCTGCACTTCAATTTATTTGAGTGGCAATAATGAAGAACAACAGGCCTATTGGTATATGAAGGATTTAATATTTTGAAGGCCATTTCATAACATTTTCTTTTTTTTTTTTTTTTTTTTTTTTTTTGCATATTTTAGCATTTTTTTACCTTATAAATTATAAAATAAAATTAGAATTTGACAGTTTTCACGATTGCAAAATGCAATTAAAGGAATAATTTAAAATCAAATTCACATAAAACTACATCAAGACAACTATCCATATGTTATCGGCACGATTGTTTGTTTTATTCCCCCTCATATAGTAGGGATGTTCGGTCGGTAAACCGATGGAACTGAACGAATCGAAAATTTGGTACGTGTCAAATACATGGCCGGTTCTGACTATAGGCGAGAGAGACGGTCGCCTCGACCCCCTGATTTTTCGAAAAAATTAGGGGACCCAAATGATGTTTTGTATTCTTTATATATATATATATATATATATATATATATATATATATATATTAGTCATAGTATTAAATATTATTTAAAATATATAAATAGTTTCAAAAATTTTGAATAATTATAACTATATTATGTTACATAGTTTAAGTATTTTTTTTGGCATTTTTTACATTTATTCTTGCATTTGATGTGAATTAAATGTCTTAGATCAATTATAACTAGTTAGATATTGAGTTATTATATCATTTTTTTCTATTTCAAGATTCTAATTTTTTTTCAAGCAATTTTTGCATTTTTTTTAAATCTACATTGCCTATCTTTAACTTCAAAAAGTTTCGGCAAGTTATATATATTATATTTTATTTTATTATATTTAAACAAAGGTTACATATATTTACTTGTTCAATAAAATTGCTATGACTATTTTTCAAAAAACTTGGGGGGCGCTGCACCGAATACCGTAAACTTTTGATTTATTTAACTTCGTCGATATTTTAATCGTATTTTCTCAAAAATTCTTAATTGCTAATTAAAAAATTCTTGTCCAGTTGTGCTCGCTAGAATATATTAATGTACATGCATTTTACAATACAAATCGAATAACAATTTTTACAAATTCTTAAAACTCGCCTAGGGCCTCCAATTTCTCAGGAACGCCCCTGGTCAAATACATGACCGAAATTTTGGTTCGGTATTCTGTAAAGGTTTTTTGAAATTCCAGTATTCAATACGGTATACGATATTGATGTCTGGTATAATATACCGTACCGAATACCAAAATATTTAATAATTTTTTTTTCTTTTATAGTAAATTCTTGAAGGTTATAACAAATTGTAAAATACTTTTAGATTGATAATCTATTCCATTATTTACAAATTAGCTCTATTGATAATCACTTTTTATTTTTAGGAGAGACTGTTGAAATTTGAATGACAAATTCAAGAATTAATTAGTTTAAATATATATTTTTTTACATTTTTTAAAATATTAAAATATATTTTCGTTTCTTCATGCTTAACTTTCTCCCATTCAGTATCAAAATAGACAGTTCCTGCTGCTCTGCATTCTGCACAAATATGTTCACTTTCATTCAAAAATAAATTACATTATTTGAAATAAATAGAGACCTAATCTCTATTAAAACAAGAAAGTAAAAAAAAAAAATTTAAAGTACTACAAGTCAACAAAGATTCTCCCAAAACGGAGGTTTCTGCAAACTTTCCATCTCTCAGGCAGAATGGTTTCCAGGTTTCTTCATCTCCATTTCCACACCACTATCTCCATCACCCTTATATCTATACCAATTAGCACACAAAAGAAAATATCCGAAATTCAACGCACACAAAACCGCATTAAGGTAATAAAAATAATCCAACCTCCCCTTATTGAGATCCTCCGGCAGCCAGCTCCCGCTCCGGTCATCCTCAGTCATCCTATGCACCACCGATATCAACAAACTATAAACATAATGCGAGGCGGCACTTCCACAGAAGTAAAAAGCACCACCCACGCTCCTCATATTCTCCGGGAACTGCTTGTAGTAAAACTCAATCTGTCCAATCGCATTAAACGCCTCAGCGAACCCACTCAGCGTCAGCTGTGGGACCAGCCACATCGCTGACATGGCGGAAACAGGGCCGGAGGCGGGCCCCACCAAAGACCTCCTCCTTTCCTCCACAACGGCCCCCACGAGTGATCCGAGTATGGTGAGGAATATTCCGATTCCCATTCTTTGGAGGATTGTGATGCCGCCTTCTTGTTTTGTTAGTTGGCGGAGAAAAGGGACGATGACTCGGTCGTAGAGCGGGACCCACAGGGTGAGGCTGAGCATGGCGAAGACTATGTAAGAGGCGGCGGGGATTTGGAAGCTTCCGAGGTGTCTGTTGGATTGGAGTGCTTGGAAGACTACGTACTGTTGCTGGACTCCGATGTGGTAGAAAATGGCTGTGAGTGAAACTGGGATCACTCTTAGTACGCATTTGAGTTCTTCCACTTGTTGTGTGGTGCAGAGGCTCCATGGATTCGAGGCTGATCCGTCTGGTTTTATTTCGTCTTCTGCTGTTATTATTGCTGCTTTGTCCAAGAATCTGATGAGTAATCGACGAAAAAAATCGTTTTAAGTAGATTTCGATTGAAGGATTTGATCATATCGAAAACAGTAAGTTCTTACATGAACTGCTCGGTGTAAGGCAGCCTAGAATTGATAGACTTGGGCGGTTTATAGTTGAAAAGGCTGAGCCACGGCTGCTCCGGCAACTCCAGCCGCCTCTTCTTGGCGGCAGCCACCGCTACCTGGACCAGACTAGTCATGGGGCTGCCGTCCGGCCTCACTTTCACATACATTTTTTCGCCCATAAAGAACAATACACACGACAGAAACATAAATATTGTGGGAATGGCCAAGCCTATGGACCAGCTAATGTTGGATTGAACATAAACGACTAGGGTTAACGAGACAATTTGTGCGAATGTGACTGTTAAATAGTACCAGTTGAAGAAACTAGCAATGCCCCTTTTGCCAGACTCTGTGTTGGGATTGAACTGATCGACACCGAAGGCTAAGTTACAGGGCCTTATTCCACCAGCACCAATTATCATAAGCCCGAAACTGAATAGGAGAAAGGCCATTTGCCATACATCCGGGCCCACACATTTATCGCCAGGTGAGCAGTGAGGTGGATGGAGGTTATTGAATACTGATGTTAATGTCAAGGCCAAGAATCCCTTCAATCCAAAGAAAAGAAAAAAACAAATATTAGATAAAAATAAAATCCTGATCATGATTTCCATGGCCGCCTAATTCAAGACAATTAGTACCAAACTTGCTTGGTGCACATGCTACAATCGGCGAAGTGGACGCCAGACTAACGACGTATAATGCATCCACACATACAGAGATGCGTGTGTGTAGCATGTAATGGATGTGATCTGCCTAATAATAGAGAATGAAAAATGAAAATTTCCATGGCCTAATTCAAGCCCACCAAGCTACTTATTATCAATTTTATAGTGCAAATCAAAAGAGTGAAAAACGAGATCTTGATCATAACGTTTCCACAGCCTTATTCAGGCAAAGTCCCAACTTCTTATCAATCTTAATTGTCCATGATACCAGACGATTCAACGATTATCAGATTCTAACTATAGTTTTACACTTACAAACAATGAGGCGATTGAGGCGAATCCCAATGTCTTGTAACGGCCAAAGTAAGTGTCGCAAAGATAAGCTCCGACAAGAGTTGCGATGTTGGTGGTGCCGTTAAACACATTAAGTACCGTTGTTGCAGAAAAGTGTGTCATATTGAAAACTGTGGCTAGATACAACTGCAGGTTTGATGAAGTTCCAATGGCTCCAAGCTTCTCAAAGGTCTCGTTTCCTTTCATCATCAAACATAAAATCAAAATTCAAGAATTTAAGCGAAAATTGTTACCGATAGAAAAGGATTGTTATATATATATATGTACGTATGTATAACTTTACCTATGATGAATGGCATAGACTTGATTCCCCTGTAGTTGATCTTCTCCGGTTCTTCATCATATTTTGCAGAAGCAAATGATAATTCATCCGCTGTTTTAATGCTTCTCTTTTCGTTCTTCTCCATATTTTCACACACTGCGCACACAGTACACAGACTTGTTAGCTACTTCTCTCTCACACACACACAAACACAAACAGAGATACACACATACACAATATAATTTGTATCTGTGCATGTATTATACATAAGGTATGGAATCAAAAGTGAAGTACTTATAATAGTGAATGAATCTAACTGCCCAACTCATGTTATCAGTGAGCCAGTGATTACGCACCATGTATAATTTACATTTATTAATAAAAATTAATCGGCAGAGCAAAAAAATGGGATACACTTCAAACTTGAAAGAGCAATAGCAAACAGCAATTACTCTTATCCTAACTACGCGCATAAATTAATTGATAAAATGAGAAATTAGTGTTGCCAAAAGCTACTCAATACCCAACGTTATAAAAAATAAAAATTAAAAAATTAAAGAGAGAGAAAGAGGAAACAGGAAATTACGTAAATGATTACGCGACGTCGTTTCATAATCCGAGTCGCTTTCGAGAAATTCGACATTTTCGGTACGGCGCCTGGGCTAGAGCTCTGGAATTCTCAAATCGTAGCAAACTGTGAGACCTAGAATTCTCCAAGGGACAGCCAAATGTTCGATTCCTTCGCTAGGGAGCGGTAATTTTTCATATTAGGGGCGTTTAGTGGTTCGGAGATTGCCCAATTTTCTCCGGAATTGGAGCCGACGTACGATAAATTCTCCGGGAAACAGAGCAATTCGGCTACGGCGGTAGCTGCTTCCTTGATGAGGCGGGAGCCGCTGGTCAAATTGAAGGACGGATCGTTGACTGAGGTCATCGACGGAGACTCGTAGAAATCGTCCATGGCTGCTGCCGATCGTCGGAAGGAGATGACTGCAGGTGGCTGCGATGATGAATGAGCATGGTTGTTGACGAACAAGCTCAGTCCTTCAGTATTTCCTAATTATTTCAATGTAATTGTATTATAATTTTTCTTTTTTTCTTTTTTTTAGATGAATACTTATACTTTTTATTAAAGAGTTTATTAGGGAAAATCCACCTGTTCATATTGGCTAATGAGGTAGATTCAATTTTTTTTCCCCTTTTTGAGATACACCCAATTTTGCTAATTTGGCAAAATATATTATATAATTTCCCTTTAATACCCCTGTTTTATTATTAAACGGCATTTATTTCCTTTAATACGTGATTTGAGATTTGCTGATACGTTGCCTAAAATCACGGAATAAATTTACGTGAGATCATTGGCCGTTATATCAAATCGTGTACAATATTTTTTGAAGATTCTCTTCATCGTTCCAGCGGGTTTTATCGTCTTTGAAGATTTCTGCACCGTCGTGGAAATAAGATCGATTTTTGAACGTTTGTTGTTGGACGTTGTTAAGCGGGTATGAATGCGTTATTCGTTTTTATTTTTCGCTCAATGTCCATGATTGTCGTGTACGGTGGTTAGAAATTTTTAAGAGTTGTGTTGATACTTGATTCTATTAAGTAGAACGTTTTTTAACAAAATTATTCTGTCATATATATATCGTTTTTTTTTGGCCGATGATGTTTGTTTGGAAGAGGATTGACAGAGTTAGAAGAGGATGGTTCACGTATATCGGACCAGAGTTGTTTTATATGAACATCGTAGTTGGTTTATGCAATAATTGAAATAACTGTCCGCTGTGGTTGAGTTCATGAGTTAGATCCCGTTCGATAGTTGGTTTATTTGTGTATAACAGCAGATTTTAGGGTGCTGGGTAGTACATTAAAATATATTTCGTAGTCTTTTTTAATTTAGCGTATGGATTTTGCATTTTGAGTTTATTGTTGATCATATTAATATATTTTTTAGTATTCTGCATTTTTAATGTCGTATCATGATTCAAGGTATTTTCGATGGCGAATTTTATACGGATTTTGTTGAGATTTGGTGGTTTGGTTGCTATAAAGAGGTGTTCGAATGGGTTTACTCGCGGCTCATTGGTTGCATTTGTTATTTCAAAGTGGCCAAACTCGATGGGTGGGATATAAGCATGACATATAGGCTGGAAGGCATTGTCCGCTGTGGTCGAGTTCATGTTTTTGATCCCGATCGATAGTTGGTTTATTTGGTTATAACAGCCGATTTAAGTGTGATGGGTAGTACATTAAAATATAGTTCGTAGTCTTTTTTAATTTAGCGTATGGATTTTGCATTTTAAGTTTATTTTTGATAATATTAATGTATTATCATTCAAATGTATTTGCAGTCTATTTAATCATTTTTTAGTATTCTGCATTTTTAAATTTGTTTCATGATTTTAGGTTTTTTCGATGGCGAATTTCGTACGAATTTTGTTGAGGTTTGGAGGGTTGGTTGCTATAAAGAGGTGTTTACGATGTAATGGCTCGGTAACTTCGGTTAAGTGTTAAACCGTTGTAATAAAGTAGTATACTATTATGAATACCGTATGATACTACCATTATCATTTTATTATACTATTATGAGATTATTAATATTGTACTAGAGTTTTTTAACTCGACATATTGGTTTGATTGTGTTATGATGTGTTTTATGTATTTTATCAAAACCCTAGATTGAAATTATGAGATTATTAATGTACTATTTTATTGGTTATGTTGGAATACTTTACGTTGGTGTTGTTCTCAATGTTCTTGTCATTTCAGTGGTATATTGTTTGTAACACAATTTCATGTCACTACTATAACCGTAATATACTATCATATCAGATTAATGTACTATATTGAAATTATTAATATAGTATGTGGTTGAATAATACGGGATCCATAGTCGATTAACGAGATCCATAATCGAATTAGATCAATAAGATAGTCTATTACATGATATAAGGAAAATTACCCTAATTGATTAGTATTTCAAACAAACATATTATTCAGTTTACATATATATTATTATTTTTTCATATATATTATTATTTACTCTAATCGTTTTCATATAATAAGGAAAATTACCCTAATTGATTAGTATTTCAAACAAACATAATATTCAGTTTCCATATATATTATTATTTTTCCAATAGTCAATAACTAAACCCATAATCGAATTAGATCATGGGATAGTCTATTAAAAGATATGAGATAGTCTATTAATTTTAAAACACAAATCCACCGCCGTCACTTCTCAAATCTAGGGTTTTGATGATTCTTCGGCCCATAGTCGATTATCGATTAACGAGATCCATAGTAAAATTATACCAGTGGGATAGTCTATTAAATGATATGAGATAGTATATTAATACAGATGTAATTCGACTATGCATCTCGTTAATCAACTATGGGCCGAAGAATTATCAAAACCCTAGATTTGAGTAATCCTAGATTTGAGTAACCCTAGATTGGAGCAGTGACGACGACGGCGGCCAACGACGATATCACTTCTGATGGATGTCCTGCCCATCAATTGTTGCAATATCACTGATTTAGTGCTCGAATTCGGTATGCGATTATAACAGATCTGCAATTACACAAACGTGATAGTCGATTTAGCCAAAACATATCAACAAATCAATGGACGATAGCGATGCAACGAGCGACGAAGACGTACCTATGGCGGCTTGCTCGGAGTGCACGTAGTCGTCGTTTCACGGCAGTGCAGATATCTTCCGCGTTCAATCGGCCGTTCCGGGAAGTGGTTGTGGGAGGTTTTGCAGTTTATTTGATAGTGGGTTTAACGGGAAAATAGGAAGGAATTTGATATTATTTCAAAAGGTAAAGTAACGGGATTTGTGGGATTTGATTGAGGGTAATTATGTAATTAAGAAAAGTTTGGGCTTTTATCAAAATGGGAAATTTAAATTTGGGTCTATATATAATATATATTCATCTTTTATAAATATTAATTAAATGCTTTCTTTTTAATTTACATAAGTTTTAAAAGATATTATATGATATCCGTTTGTATAATCTTTTAAAAATAAACATTATTCAATATGATTGGTTGCATGTTATTTTAAGTTTTATAAGATGCAATACTATTATAATGGGTCAATATATCTACTTGTATTTTATGATATTTTGGATTGACTAAATAATAAATATTTGGTGAACTTCATAAATATATAGATGTAATGTGGCTCCTTCGACCCTACATCAGGTGATAAATACTGGGTGGGTCTTCTGCTGCCATGTGTCCCTTTTTTTATTTACCTAAAACCTCTAAAGGTAAACTTTAGCGGAGAATATATTATAAAATACAAAAAAGAGACACGTTGATAGCAGAAGACTCATCCGGTGTTTATCACTGGATGTAGGGTCGAACAAATCATGTAATATGGGCTCGCGTTCATCATTTCTCGATGGCGGGCTCGCCTCATTCCAAGTAAAATTGATCCTTTTTATTCTAACTGTGAAGACTCATTTATTATTTTTCTTTGTGTTTTAATTAAAAATGACTTCATTTTATTATTTTATATAAAATTGAATCTTTAAAAATTATAAAAGACAATAAATTATATATTGATATAGTAGTGAAGAAAATTAAAATTTGAGGGGTTCATGGACCATCTGACCCTACACTGACTTCGTCACTGATTATCGCGCTTCAACTCTAATGATAAATTAGATTAAAAAAAAAGTTACAGAAAATAAATAAATTTAGAAACGTAATCTAAACCTAAAAACATTACTCAAAATTAAAAGTAACACCCTTTGGCCTTTTCTATTTCTGAATCATACTTTGACAACAAAAGAAACACACACAAATACATTTAAAATTTCAGAAAATTTTCAATCTATCAAATTCAAACAGAATGAATTTCATGTTTCTTGGTCTCCATTTCCAAACCACTAACACCGCTATCACCATCACCCTTATATCTATACCAACTAGCACAAACAAGAAAATATCCAAAATTCAACGCACACAAAACCGCCACAAGGTAATAAAAATAATCCAACCTCCCCTTATTCAGATCCTCCGGCAGCCAGTTCCCGCTCCGGTTACCCTCGCTCATCCGGTGCACCACCGATATCAAGAAACTATACACGTAATTCGATGCGGCACTCCCGCAAAAGTAAAAAGCCCCGCCCACGCTCCTCATATTCTCCGGGAACTGCTTGTAGTAGAACTCGATCTGCCCAATCGCGTTGAACGCCTCCGCGAACCCGCTCAGCGCCAGCTGTGGGGCCAGCCACATGGCTGACATGGAGGAGACGGAGGAGCCGGGCGCCACCTGAGACCTCCTCCGCTCCTCCACGACGGCCCCCACCAGAGATGTCACTATCGTGAGGAATATCCCGATTCCCATTCTCTGGCGGATCGTGATGCCGCCTTCTCTCTTTGTGATTTTACGGAGGAGAGGGACTACGATTCGGTCGTAGAGCGGGACCCACATTGTGAGGCTGAGCATGGCGAAGACAATGTACGAGGCGGCCGGGATTTGGAAGCCGGTGCTGCCTAGGTGGCGGTCCGATTGGAGGGCTTGGAAGACTATGTATTGTTGTTGAGCTCCGATGTGGTAGAAAATGGCGGTGAGTGAAACCGGGATGACTCTTAGTATGCATTTCGCGTCTTCGATTTGTTGCGTGGAGCAGAGGTTCCATGGGTTCGAGGATGATCCGTCCGGGTTTATTTTGTCTTCTGGTGTTATTATTGCTGCTTTGTCCAAGAATCTGATGAGTAATCGAAGAATGATGATTTCGTTAAGAGTGCATTTGGATCGAGGGATTTTATATATGATTAAATGATTTTGGGAAATGGTTTTATCATATGTAGTATTTATTGACTTCAAACTAATTCACTATATAGTATGTAGTGTAGCTCAAACTAAAAAATATATATATAGTCAAAATTAAATTCAAAGTTAAGAATCGACTTAATCTATTGCGACACAAGAAAGATGTATTGAAAGAGGAAAAAAATCAATGCAACATTACTACTTTAAATTTAAATTGATATAAATAACAATGCAACATTATTCCTTGAAATGAATTTATTATTACGTTTCTCTTATTTTCTAAAGGCAACTATAATTGGATGATTTGACCCAATAATTAATTGGAAAATATTATAAATAGTGTAGTAATATATTAGTTGGAGATGGTACCACCCAATAATCATGGTGCATCATGAATTATATAACAAACATATCATGTTGAAAATGTCAAGAATTAGGTGCTCCACTTATCATCACTATTATTGCACAAAGCTTTGTCTTCATTCCTATAACTAAAGTTAGCCTCACCTACCCTCCCACCCAATTTTGTACATTCTACATTTGAATAGATACATCTATAAATTAATAATGTCACTTAAATAATAATTTTTTCTCGTCCTGATTCGGTGATAACCTGCTAAATAGTTAACTTTATAATTTATTATTTTGTTAAATTAATAAAATTTTATTAGTTCCGAGTGTATTGATTTATAGAGGTTTAACTATAATATGTAGTTCCGGAACATTAATCTACACACAATCAAATTTATAAGTATATATGTAAATATAATTCAAAGTTTACACATGGTGAACTTCACCAAATGAAGCTTCCCAAAAACCCCACCCACCCAACCCCACCAACCCTAAAGTGGTACCAATTCTTGACATTTTAATGATTTGGAAATAAAATCCCTTTTGCTTGATATATGTCATTTAAAAAAGAAAAACAAAAAAAGAAGTAAATTCTTACTTGAATTGCTCAGTGTAGGGTAGTCTAGAATTGATAGACTTGGGCGGTGCATAATCAAATAGGCTGAGCCACGGCTGCTCCGGCAGCTTCAGCCGCCTCTTCTTGGTGGCCGCCACGGCCACCTGGATGAGACTAGTGATGGGGCTGCCCTCCGGCTTCACCTTCACATACATGTAGGCGCCAACGAAGTACATCAAACATGAAAAGAACATAAAGATTGCCGGAAGGCCCAATCCGATCGACCAACTAACGTTGGATTGGACGTAAACGACTAGGGTTAACGAGACTATCTGAGCGAATGTGACGGTGAAATAGTACCAATTGAAGAAACTATCGATGCCTCTCTTGCCAGATTCCGTTTTCGGATTGAACTGATCGACACCAAATGCTAAATTACACGGCCTTATCCCACCCGCTCCGATTATCAGAAGTGCGAAACCGAATAGGAGAAAGGCCATTTGCCCTACATCCGGGCCCACACATGTGTCGCCCGGTGAGCAGTGGGGTGGATGGAGATTCTTGAAAACTGCTGTTAATGCGATTGCCAACAATCCCTTCACACAAAAGAAAACAAAAGGATTCAAATCTTGATCATGATTTTTGTGGCCTTATTCAAGCCAATTTCAGTACCACACTTGCTATTGATCTTTTTGGTCAAGTATAATGCTACACTCGATGAAGTACACACCAGATCATATAAGAACTGTAATTCATGTGTGTAGTATTATCTATAATATTTCATTTTGTGTAGCATCTAACATAACTGGTCGTATTCTCGATATATTTGGTTAGGTATCATATTGTACTACTCATAATTCATCCGCACACACCGATATGAATGTATATGTACATATAAACGACGTACGATATACATGTGTATTTCACAATTTTCTTGGCTTAATAACCCAATTAATTGAAGCCCACCAAACAACTTATAAGATTTGAAGATTAGATCCCTAGCACTGCTCCATCTATTTTATAACGAGTGTCGTTTTTTTGTTGGTGCACGGGTACTGAGAAAACTAATAAATATGCATATATTTTAGAGAGAAAGAACAAAAACATAGAATATGACTAAAATACCCTTGTCATTCATTACTTGTTTCTCCCCAATTATCTGGTAATTAATTAAGAGTGATAAAGGTATAAACAAGGGAGTATAGTTTTTAATACTTACAAATAAGGACGCAATTGAGGCGAATCCCAATGTCTTGTAACGGCCAAAGTACGTGTCGCAAAGATAAGCGCCGACGAGGGTGGCGATATTGGTCGTGCCGTTGAACACATTTAGAAGCGTTGTCGCAGAAATGCGCTTCATGTTGAAAACTGTGGTTAGATACACCTGCAGATTTGATATTGTCCCAATTGCCCCTAGCTTCTCAAATGTCTCATTTCCTTTCATTTCATCACCACAACAACAAAAAAAAAAAAAAAAAATCATATTAATATATTAGTAACATAACATAAGTTATAATTCAAGAATTATTTTAAACAAAATTATATATATGTATGTATGTATGTATAACTAGTACCTATGATGAATGGCATAGCCTTGATTCCCCTATAGTTGATTTTCTCAGGTTCTTCATCCACTACTGTTTTCAAGCTTTCTTTTTCATTCTTCTCCATTTTTTTCACACACTACACACAGTGACACACATTAGTCACAGGCTGCTTCTAGTTATAGAGACAGACAATATGTACACACACTAAAACACACACACAGTTACAGAGAGGCAGGTTTTGGCAGCCACAAGAAGGGTCCCACCAGACTGAGAAAATGGAGAATACTTTTTAGCAAAGAGAAGAAATAAAAGTCTGTCTTTTCACCTAACGGTCAATTATTTTAAGATTAAATTCGATTGTATTAATTCTTTACTCACAACCTAATTAGTTAATTATGCCTTAATTAATTAATTTATTTATTTATTAAAGCTAGCATTAAACTTTGTTATAATTTGGAATTGCATTTGATTTTTCAACAACATCCATAATTTAATAATAGCAAGTAATATCATAATTTCTGCAATTTTAATGATAAAATTGTAAAATTTGTTTTTAGTTACTACTAATTTTATTGACTAGTAGTATTTAATTGCATGGCGTGTGATAGCTACTAATTTTATTGACTAGTAGTATATTTGATTGCTTCTTTAACTTTTATTGGGGGTCTGAAATAATTTTGAATTTTATCAACAAGTGTAACAAACGTTGAATTTTATCAACAAGTGTAACAAACGTGTTACTAATTTCTACTATTTAATTAATATTTTTTAGCAGTAACAATCGAAAGAGACTTAAAAACTATATTATTTTCCTTTAGGGGCGTATACGATATATCTATAAACAATATTTTTAAGTTTAAAGAAAATGGAATTTTATTTAAGTTTTCCCATTAATGTAAAAATCAGGAAGTGCGCTTGTAATTATGGACTAAGAGAGTGTTTAGCTAAGCTTAGAACCTGTTAAAAAAACTCAAAAGATGCTTAAGAACTTATAAATTTTTTTAAAGTATTTGATCAAAAAATATTTTAAAAATTCAAAAAATAATTGTTGGACAGCTTTTAAAACAACTTATCAATCGTTAAAGCTTATCCACGGTTTGAAATAAGTTTAGCTAAACTAGCTCTAAATCCATGTCATTTTAAGGATGGGAAAATGACAGCGAGCTAGTTGAGTGGAATATAAGGCACCCACCATAAATATTAATTATACATTTATACTTAATAATAAATTAATTGCAATAGGTGGAAAAAAAAAAGGATAAATAACTTCATAGAGTATGTAGTAAAGTATTAGACTCTCACCAAACTACAAGCACTAGTTATTGACAAACGAAGATGTTTGGTGCTAATTGCAAGTCCCACGTCATCATGAAAATGGTGGGACAAAGGGTAAAATGAAAAGAGAAGAGAGAGAAATTGGGATTTGATTGGGATATGATTACCTACTATATAATTATATATCAAATCTTGTTTAATAATTTGACATAATGCACTTCACTCCTCTATAAATATTCCAGATTCACACTTCTCCCCTTAAACAATAATCAAAAAAGGAGACGATACCCCATTAAAATATTGTTTCAGTTGCATTTTGCCCCCAAAACACAATTTATGGTGGGCAAGTTACAACAAAAACAAGATTTTAAAGGGGTTATGTGCAGAGCAAAAAATAATTTTCAAGGCAACTTGCAAAATAATAACGTTTTTAAGGGGTGATGTGTAACAAAAACACTCACTTTCGGTGAATAACTCATCGAAATCTTGATATTGGAGCAACTTGCAACAAGAATAACTTTTCGAAAGGGTACAGTCACTTTTTTCAATTTTGAGGGGGAAAGTGCAAAAATTAAAAATTTGTAGGGGAGTGAAATATAATTTGCTCTAATTAATAATAAGTTTAGTTGCGCCTATATGCAAGACTAATTCCACATGTGCAAGACCAAATTAAAATTTTCAATGTATAAATATAATATCCTTACTTGTTAAAAAATAGAAAATTCCAAATGTGCAATACCAAAAACTCAAAAACACAAAAAACTCTATCACAAAAGCACATGACCAACTCTCATCTTCTTCATCTTCCAAAACTCACAAAATATTTCTCCTTCCTCCTCCATAAACCCACAAAACCTAAACATTCAAAATCATTAAAACTCAACAAATCTTACAAAGATGGCAAATATAGAGTCAGAAGACATCAAAATAGAAGATTCTACGGTGGAAGAACCCAAGAAGGTATGCATTTAGCTAGAATATCGTTTTTCCAAAAAAAATCACGTGCAGACGCAGTCGACATGTACATGTCGAATTTTATAGGTAAAAATCGACATTGAGACGTCGATTTTGGAGTACAAAATCGACACCTTAGTGTTGAAATTTAACTGTTAGCAAATTAGTCCAAATGTACTAAATTTCGACATTAAGGTGTCGAATTTATGGACATATATTCGACACCTTAATGTCGAAATTTAGTTGTTTCATATTTTTTTTACTTTCTATTTTCCAATTACTTTTTCTTTCAACATTCATTTATTTTTTTATAGCAAAAGGCAAATGCGAAGACGTAATTTATTGTCCAAATTCATCCAAGGTTTCAAAAATATGTACAAGAGATCAAGAACGTCGCATCAAGAGCGGCGGTTGGTGGCGGTTAGGATTTCACATGGGGGGCTAGGTTTTTTTAATTTCACGTTTTCTTTGTTTTCTTCTTGTTTTTTTTTTTTTTCATTATTTGTTATTTGGTCTTGCATAAGCAAATAAAAGCCAATTTAATTTATAGATATATTTGTCATTTCATCTTAATAAAATAGAATCTTTTAAAATCTTTCTTTAATTTGATTTTGCACAAATGGAATTAGTATTACATATAGCCGCAACAATAAGTTTTTCTCAAATATTGTTCTTGTTTTGGGCCACGTATGTTGTAATTGGGCTTTGTTTCCAATAGCAATTGTATGTTTTAGTTGGGTCATAAAAGAATTTGCCCAAAATATAACGCCCAACACAAGATCTTTTTGGACTAATATTCATCGGGTTGGATAATTTTATTTGTTTATGTTTTTATGAGTGCAAAAAGTAGTATAATTGGATCAAAGGATCCAAGGGAAGAATTTTAAATCCAAAATAACAAATTCAGTAACTTTGTTCGAAGTGAGTCATTTCACAAATGATTAGGAATCTTTACCTTTTATTTTTAATATTTACCTACAAAATAAATAGTAACAGTTAGTAACATGTTTGATGTATCAGAAAAATGTACTTTGTAAAACAAAATCTGGGAAGTTTGTACTAATTCTTTTAACACGAGGGACATTTTGACAATTCGAGATTACATAAAGTTTTGTGTAGTTAACTTTTTATTTTAAGTTAGTTTTTCGGTAATTGTAGTCGGTTTCAAATCACTCTCAATTGGAGTGATTCTAAATTTATATATTCAATTCATTCAACCTAAATGAGGCTCTTATTGTAAGATCAACGATGCAATGCCTTTTATTATTTTCCAAACAAATTTAATTATAATGAAACATTCTAAATAAATAATATTTAGGGTAAATTCCACTTTCTCCCTTGTACTTAGGTTCGATATCATTTTAGCTCCTTCTACTCTCGATTGTATCGATTTGCCCCCCTTACTTGAAAAATTGTCTTAACACCGTTTGATCTAATTCTGAAAATTACAAAAAAAATCATCCCTCTCAATTTAAATAATTATTTAAAAAAAATGGTGGCTGATGTCGTGGACTATGTTTTCTCGTTGTCCTGATTTTTTTATTTCTTTTTTATTTTAATAATTATTTAAACTGGAGATGTGACGTTTTTGTAATTTCAGAACTTAGATCAAACAGTGTTAAGGTCAAATGTCTGACAACTAACAGCGAGTGCCACTTTGACACAAGTTTTCAAGTGCAGGGAAGCAAATCAATGCAATCGAGAGCAGAATGAAGTAAAGTAATACAAAGCCAAAGTACAAGAAGGAAAGTGGAATTTATCCTAATTTTTAAGAATTTCAATTTAGAACTCCATTAATAATTATTTTTTTTAAGAATTCTAATTTGCAAATAATCAAACTATTAGACAAAGATCAATAGATACTAACTGCAATCACATCATATACCAATTAGATATTGGAATCAAGTCCAACATGGAATTAAAACACTTTAGTGAAAGAGTAATTAATATTGTTGTTTATGTCAATTTGTGTTCATATCTTATTGTCCTTCATGGTTTCAAACTTTCAATGATAACGTTTGATTACACGCAACTTCTCACAATTATTTCATCTTTTTTGTTTTTTTTCAACTTTTCTCAATAAAATCCTCTTGACATATGTTATATCTATAATGTGGGTATAATTGTTTTATATTAGGGACCAACTTGAGTCTTGACTAATTTGAACATAATGATGTATGCACGTACGGGCGTGTGCAATTAGGGATGACAATCTGATCCACTCCGCCCTGCTTAAAAAATTGTGGGAATTTCCCTCCATGAAAAAATGTGGAGATATTGCAATTTTTAAATTAGGTACGTGACGGGGACGAATTCTGTTATACCCACACCAATCCTTCCCGCATCCCCGCCCCATAGCTGCACCATGTTATTTTATTTATTTATATATATATATATATATATATATATATATATATATATATATATATATATATATATATATATATATGTTAGAACCCTAATCTAGGGTTCATATCAAAGAAGAAATCAAAGAAGGAAGAAGAAGAATTTTATTGAAGAAGAAAAGAAAAAGTGTTTTACAACGGTAACAAAAACAACTTTAAATAGCTGTTACAATAACTACCTAAAAGTGCTAAAAGAAAGGAAAAACTAATAAAAACGTAATAGCTAAACACGTTTTATTAACAACAGAAATATAAAATGATAAATGCTATACAGAAATTACTAAACAGCGTATATAACAACTACATATCCAATAATATATATATATATATATATATATATATATATATATATATATATATATATATATATATATATATATATATATATATATATATATATATATATATATATATATATATATTAATTTTTTATTTATATTATTTCAATGAAATTAATTTTACTTTTAATGTTTGTAACTTTTTTTCACAAGAATAATTTGTTTAATATTTATTGGAAATTTTGGCGGGGCGAGTACCTACATAATGTTCGCATGGAGGGGGACGGGATATCTAAATGGGGTTTTTACGGGGATGAGGATGGTGATTTTGAATCGGAGCGGGGATGGGGATTGCAACACCCGTTTCATGGCTATCCCTACGTGCAATTCAAGTCGATCTGAACTTAACTATTTCCTTAATTTCTAAATAAAATCATTTTTTTACCCTTGCATACGTATTAAAAATTTAAATAAATATTTATTAATTTTAGAAAAAAAACACATTAAAAAGACCAAAACAACATTCATCTTTTAATGATATATATGATAGAGAAAATTAGTATTATAGTTGAATAGGTATGGGTAAAACAAAAAAAAATGTATT